TTGGGTGGACTTGGATTTGGTTCAATCTGGGCTCAAACTACCTGAGATCTCAACCTAAGCCCAATTCAAATTTAGTTTAGACCTGAGTAAGCCCATCCTGAAGCCCAAAAACTCAGGAGCAACCGTTGTAATAGCTCGGGTTGGGTTGGGTCAGATGGTTTGGTTTCAAGTTGGGCTGCCCAAGTTGCAACCCCAACTAATAATTTCAGATGTTAATGTCCATCCTAACATATCTTTGAAATATCAAATTGTAAAAGTTAAACAAAAAAAGTGTTGTTTGTCAAAAATTCAAAATACACAATTTTTGTGTATCGTATCAATACCCTTGGACCCTATAGAGCATCTACAATACCATCATCCAGATAAGATTCAAAATATTACAATATATCAGTGAATATATGATATGATATGTATTGAAAAACATTTTGTCCACTACTATTCTAGATAATGAACCAAGTAAGAAACAAAAGATGTACAGTCCAAAATTTTAGAAATTCCACATTGTTCATGTCCAGTGTTTACATTCTCATTATAATTTATGCACATTCCACCGTCGAACTTTCTATTTTTTTTCATGTATAATAAGGTTAGGGTAGATGAAGGTGATGTTTGGCATCCATGATGATTTCTTGAAAACCATTGTCATGTTGGATCTACATCAGCGTTAGAAGAATCAGAGTTGAAATTCCTGTTTGGTTGGTCGATTTTGATGTTTTTAAGGAAATCGGTTCTTGAAATCAGCCTTTTTCAGGGATTATCTTTTTGGTGATTTCCTAATTTCTATTTGATTCCAATTTCTTTGTGGATGACATGGCATCCAATATGGCATTTAATAATATCTCTAATACAAAAATAATTGGCCCTTGAGAATCAGTACCAAACAAACTCAGTCAATTTCTCAAAAAATGGCTTATATGGCAGAAATGATTCCAAATAACAAAATTTACTAATTTTTGAAAAAAAAAACACTGATTTCAAAAGTCACCAATTTTTGAAAAAATCGGTAAGAAATAATCAGCATCAATGCCAAACATCACCAAAGTAAGTCTATGCTCTTAAAGACCAAGTAGTTTTTGGATGCTCACTTGGCATTACACCAAAAGAAGAGGCACAATATCAAAATCCATATAACAGGACACTGTTCTGCCCTCACCCACCATGGTGCTTGTGGGAACATGTTAGAAAAGTATTTTGTCGTGAGTAGATTCTAACTCATTGGCTACATGAGTCATCTCTTATCATTTTGTTTTGTTTTCATGAAAAGACAAATCAGGATCCGCACTATGTCATTATCAGAGTTAGGCAAATTTTTTAGTACCAACTACCAATCTCACTTTGGACACTGTTCTGTCCTCAGCCACCATGGTGCATGTTGGAATGCTTTAGAAAAGTATTTTGTTGTGAGAAAATCCTAGCTTATTGGCTACATGAATCCTCTCTTATCATTCTGCTATATTCTATGAAAAGACAAATTAGGATCCACACTATCAAAGTTCGGCAAAATTTGTAGTACTAATTGCCAATCTCACTATGGACACTATTCTATCCTCACCCACCATGGTGCTTGTTGGAACTTGGAACTTGTTAGAAAAGTATTTTATTATGAGCAAATCCCAGCTCATTGGCTACATGAGTAAAGACAAAACAAGATCCACATTACTAGAGTTTGGCAAATTTTTTAGTACTTATTTACTGCCATTTCACTGTGGACACTGTTCTTCCCTCACCCACCATGGGGAACGGGATTTGCTCCTCACACTTGGGTGCCTCACATGCACATCCACCGTGCATTGGGAACATCTCCCTTGAATAATAACTTATAAGTACGGGAGATGTTCCCCATGCATGATAGGATGTGCATGTGAGGCGTGTGTGAGGCGCCCTATGTGAGGAGTAGATCCGATCTCCCACCATGATGCATGTTGGAATGTGTTAGAAAAGTATTTAGTCATGAGCAGATCCTAACTCATTGGCTACATGAGTCATCTCTTATCATTCTATTATGTTCCATGAAAAAAGATAAATCGAGATCCACACTATCAGAGTTTGGCAAATCTTTTAGTACTGACTACCAATCTCACCGTGGACATTATTTTGCCCTCACCCACCATGGTGCATGTTGGAATGTGTTAGAAAAGTATTTAGTCATGAGCAGATCCTAGCTCATTGGCTACATGAGTCCTCTCTTATCCTTCTATTCTGTTCCATGAAAAAAGACAAATCAAGAACCACACTATCAGAGTTTGGAAAATCTTTTAGTATTGACTACCAATCTCAGTGTGGACATTGTTTTGCCCTCACCCACCATGGTGCATGTTGGAACATGTTAGAAAAGTATTTTGTCGTGAGTAGATTCTAACTCATTGGATACATGAGTCCTCTCTTATCATTTTGTTTTGTTTCATGAAAAGACAAATTATGATCCACATTATCAGAGTTTGGCAAATTTTTTAGTACAGATTACTAGTCTCACTATGGACACTGTTTTGTCCTCACCCACCATGGTGCATGTTGGAATGTATTAGAAAAGTATTTTGTTGTGAGAAAATCATAGATCATTGGCTATATGAGTCATCTTTTATCATTTTGCTCTATTTTATGAAGAGACAAATCAGGATCCAAACTATCAAAGTTTGGCAAAATTTTTAGTACTAATTGCCAATATCACTATAGACATTATTCTGTCCTCACCCACCATGGTGCTTGTTGGAACGTGTTAAAAAAGTATTTTGTTGTGAGCAGATCCCAGATCATTGGCTACATGAGTAAAGGCAAATCAAGATCCACACTACTAGAGTTTGGCAAATTTTTTAGTATTGATTGTCAATCTCATTGTGAACACTGTTTTTCCCTCACCCACCATGGTGTATGTTGGAACATGTTAAAAATGTATTTTGTCGTGAGTAGATCCCACCTCATTGGCTACATGAGTCCTCTCTTATCATTCTATTATGTTCCATGAAAAAGACAAATCAAGATCCACACTCTTAGAGTTTGGCAAATTTTTAGTACTAACTACCAATCTCACGATGGACACTGTTTTTCCCTTACCCACATTGGTGCATGTTGGAACATGTTAGAAAAATATTTTGTCATGAGCAGATCTCAGTTCATTGGCTACATGAGTCCTCTCTTTCCGTTCCATGAAAAAGAAAATTAGGATCCACTATATTAGAGTTTGGCAAATTTTTTAGTACATACTACCAATCTCACTTTGGACATTGTTCTGTCCTCACCCACCATTAGGGATGGATTCAAGCGGAGCAGAGCCGAATATTTGGCTATTCGAGATCGGCTCGCTCATAAACTATCAAGCTCAAGCTTGACTCAATCCGAACTAGAGACTTGAGCTCGAACTCGGCTCAAGTTAAAAGCTCATAAGTTCGAGCTCAGCTTGACTTGAGCTTGGTTGCCTTTAATTGCAGGTCTCCCTCAACTGCTTTAGTGTCGAGTCGAGGTCTCCTTAGCAACCAATATGTCGAGCCAAGGTCTCCCTCAATTGCCAAGGTGTCGAGCTGAGGTCTTCTTCAACTATCGAGGTGTCGAGCCGAGGTCTCCCTGAGTAGTGAGGTGCCGAGCCGAGGTGACACCCTATGTACATATATACTCGATTAGGTTCGGAAAACTCACGGGCCGACCTTTATTAAAATCGAGCTATGCTCGATTAGCAAATAAGCCTATATATTAGGCTCGAGTTCGGCTTGAAGCTTGATTTAGACTGAGCTGAACCGAGCTTGAATAGCTTGGCTCGTGGACACCCCTACCCACCATGGTGCATGTTGGAACGTGTTAAAAAAGTATTTTGTTGTGAATAGATCCCAACTCATTGGCTACAGGAGTCCTCTCTTATATTTTAGTATTGATTGCTAATTTCACACAGCCCTCCTCTTTATCCGGGCTTACAACCAGTTATGTAAGACAAATTCATGCCAATAGAGTTGTGTTATGTAATACCCTAAAAAAATGAAAAATCTATAACTACAGATCTTATTAGATCTTTTCAATTTCCATGTTAAAAATTCTTCTAAACTTGTTCAAAAACGAAGGGTAGTATAATTGCCACTACATTTGATTGTACGTACTATCAAGGTTTTCAACCCGTCGTTGACCCGATTAGTTAAACTGTTCGAATTGTCACTTGGTCAAGAATTCGGTTTAAGTAAAACTCGGAGAATGTCAAAAAACCATTGTCTTAGTCAAAAACCGTTTGACCCAATTGGTTGGACCATTGACCCATTTGACCCGGTGCTCGAGTCGCAAGTTGCATACTATGTATGCAAACTTCAAGAGGCCATAATTTTGCACTCGAATGTCCGATTGAGGTGATTTTTTTTTTTTTCATTTTAGGTAAATTTTCGAGACCTATGCTTCCCAAGGGGCCATAGGCACCTTGCCCCGTTATTTTTTCCAAAACACCCCTTTTTTGGCCTCAAATTGCAATTTTTAATAATTTTTTACAAATAAAAAATTCAAAACAGAATTAAAAAACATAAATTAAATATAAAATATTTCATATATTACATGTAAAGCATAATTATATATTATTTATTAATAAAATACATGTTTATATATACCTACACACACACATATATATATATATATATAAATTTTCATGACTGACATGGAACGGTTTGGTCAAACCAGTGACCCACGACCCAGAGACAAAAAAACGGTTCAGTCCCCGGGTTGGTTTTTAAAACACTGCATACTATTCTACCACTTCGGGAACTTTGTTCTTCTTGGGTAGTTTTAAGCTGTCTGCAATCAGAAATGGAATCGATTTCTACATCCCCTTTGGATATGCATGCAGGATGCAGCTCTCCCCACGAGAATCCTGCCAGATCTTGGTCTGCACATTTTTTTTAGATAAGCATTTTAAGAGATCATAGTCTCACCATTAAGTAATTATATGGCTCTAAAGGAGGTGAATGGATTCCATATCGAGCTACAAGTCTACAACTGACATCACTCTTCTGTGTTTCTTCAGATGAATCATGAAATTCAAAAGAAAAAGCTCGTTCAGAAACAAAGCCAAAATGGCTTTTGATGGTAACAACATGGGTTTCCACAGTTATGGTCGTTAATTATGTTGACTTGGTAACCTGTCTCAAGTCCCAGTGAGTGCACCATGATATTGGAAGTTGGAACCCACTCAACCATAAAATTGCCCAATAGCTACCAAATCAGGCCCCTTCAGTTGATAATTAACTATACAAATGATCTGAAATTACATCATCCAAGACCATGACATCTACAAGATGACAGCTCAATGGTGATCAAAGAAATGGATATTTCAGTTGGATACATCATGGCTCTTGAAGAAAGCCTTTCTCCTCCAAGTAAGATACCACTTGTCCTGCCATGACCAATGGAGTGGGACAAATTCCATCTTTCTGCTGTATTTCTATCTGGGGAAGAAAAACCATCAGATTCATCAGGTCAGAATATGGTAATAGAGACAGCTAACATAACAGTCACAGTAGATAAAGCATCAAATTACGTATGGGTCAAAGACTTTTCCATAAGCAATAAAATATTTGAGGACAAGTGCTAGTAGACATCTTCTGCATTAACCATTTACTGTAACATTTATTGTATTTTTACTCTAGAATTCCTTTAGAAGAAAATCAGAAAAGTTGAAGTTCTTTTTCATCATGTTCCCTTGTGAAATGAAGGATGCTTAGCAGCTATACAACTCATATATCATCTTCCTGCATTCAGATATTGTGGTTCTTTAAATGGTTGTCAAACAATCAAGTGACACCTGTATGCCGACATACTCATTAAATGTGGCATATTTCAAATGAAACTGGTCCAATGTGCATCTCAGAATACTATATCACTACCTGACACCTTGGCATTCAGAGAAACAAATGTTTTGAATACATGGGCTCAAACCATGGCATAGTTCCTGAAAATGGATCTATTGTAATGAACTGAAAATATATATCCACATGGTTGCATTCAAGATATACATATATCCACATGCATGCTGCATCTGCAGGTGGTTGTACATGCTGACACACATGTGCATGATCATGATGGAAAATGTATGAGAATTCCATTTATCACGCATAATTTAACAATGACAACATACCTCACAATTCAGGGGTGGTTCATATGGATCATCTATTCCAGTAAAACCTGCAATTTAATGTGATGGTTGGTTAGCGAAGCTCTACAACCTAGTCTAAGCACTGTTGAACACATTTTACAACATAAAAAGCATTATGGTCCACTTTGCGCTGGCCACTGACAAAAGAAGTTTTATCACTCACTTTTCATTAAAGATTCCACAGATTTAAAGTGCTGGTAATATCTGATAGCTGGCAGAGTGGGTGTTGGAGAGCAGATGACTTAGTTAAGTGGCAAACCACCACCATTCTAACCAAGCTTTGATGGTGGTTTGACCCAAAAATAGAGTACAGAAAAAAAAAAGGCAGCCCAGTGCACAAGGCTGGAGAGGGACAGATGTACACAGACTTATCCCTGCAGATATACAGAGAGGTTGTTTCCAAGATTTGAACCCTGGTCACCCAGGTTGCAATGGAGCAACCCAACTGTTTCACCAAGGCCCATCCTCAGTCTCTGTACTAGGACCAAAGATGGATATCACCTCTGAGGCAGAAAACAGAAGAAACTGAATCCCCCTCTCTTTAGTGGATAAAAATAATCTGGTTAGGACAAAAATGGAGTATTAGAAGCATTCTAATCTATTGCAATGAGATCTCAGAACTGTTCTTGTTGCTGACTTGTGATTCAAGAAGCTCTCAGTCCTATACTATAGGAATTTTGTTTTTATATTCCATAATCTTATTTATAGTTTTATGAAAAAAAAAGTAGGAGCCATTGCTTAGTGCAATGGTGAAATCTTGGGCTGAAAAACATGACAATGTAGGTTATTAAGGAGAGCATTTACCCTGTATTTCCTTTAAAAACCAACTTCTAATTCATGTTTCTTCTCCAAAGTTATTAAGTATCCCATCCCACCTCAAGAGTAAACATGTCAGTGAAGCTAAAAAGAAAAAAAAAAAGTGAGGTCATGTCAGTAAATGAAGCCAAAGTTTAGTTCAGGGAGCAAACCTTTAATCTTTCCTGCACGTGCAAGCTTGTAAAGGCCCTTTGCATCTCTTTGCTCACAAACTTCTAGAGGCATGTTCATATAAACCTGTGAAGTCAGAGATAATCAATGTCAAGCATCAAGTAATTTCCTTATCTAGGGACAATTACAGAAAGAATCATTTCACAAGACCCTTACCTCAATAAAACTTTCATCTGGCAATAGGGCACGGCAAGCATCTCGATCCCTTCTATATGGAGATATGAGACTAGCAATACATATCAAACCAGCATCTGCAAAGAGTTTTGCTACTTCCCCTGAAATCCAAGGAGTAGATAACTTAGGAATGTCAGAAGGATGCTAAAAATTTATTAAACAGGGGAAAAAGACTAGTCTTTGACTTTGTAGAAAATACAAAAGGAAAGGAAAAATCAAACAAAAACCACTTCATTTTTTGTAAAAGTTTACCTAAACAATAATAACAATCAATAGGGAGGCTACTGGATGTCTAAAAAGCCATTTTAGAAGCAGTTGAGCAAAGATTAAATATGAGGGCCTAGTTGGTACAAGGTTCCACTGGAGGAAGATTTTTGCAAAGATTTTATCACACCTTCTCTTATTGTAAGTGAAAATTTACAAGTACCTATATCTGTAATTTTCCTAAACTTTTTTTATATAAATAACTGCAACTGGAAAGTTCTTTACATAATAATACATCTGATAATATGACAAAGTAACTATACAGTCATCTTGGCAAGACAGGTTAGTTTGCCAAAAGTAGTGCTCCTGTATCTTGTTTCATAATTAATAATGCATATCTATACATTGAACTTATTTTGCAACATGCTCAATTTGGACTTAATATTCAAAATCACTCTGTTTGAAGCCAAACTTACCAACCCTACGTATATTTTCTGCACGATCTTCGGGTTTAAAACCAAGATCTTTGTTTAAGCCATGCCTAAGATTATCTCCATCAAGGATGTATGAAAGCTTTCCTCTAGTGTGCAACTCTCTTCCAACTGAGCATGCCAGCGTGCTTTTTCCTGAACAGTTTTAAATAAACAATTCAAAATATATGGGTTAACAAAATAATATATTGCATGCGTGGTGGTACTAAATTAACAACATAAAGTATTGCCTTCCTGTTTTGTTATGTTCCTTGTGCAGGTAGAAAGGGTACAATCTGCCTTGTTATAAATCAATTAAATACTATAATATATTGTCTCAAGCTGACAAGCATGAGAATGCAGGTTCAAGTCAGAGAGCAACCACTTTGTACAAAACAATAAGGTTAGGTCCATATGCAATCCACCCTCCCAGGATTCCAAATAGCTAGGACCAACAAAGGGTAATGGCATTTTTTTACCATAATACTTGAATGGTAAGAATACTTGAGTGGTAAGAAGCAAATACACATTGAACCCACATCCAGAAGAACAGAATTGAAGCACAAGAAAAAGCATTTTGAACTTGTTCTAATATCAACTTGATGGTCATGCTAGCCTCATACATAAATATTCATTGTAATTCATTGCAAATGCATGTTTGTTCCTTTCTAGAGGGTTTTTGAAAGAAAATTTTATTGCACTAGCCACTATCTATCATGCATCTCATGTAATAACACTAAAAAAATTCAACAATATCTTATGGACAACTACTGTTGTGGAACTACTTACCTCTTGTTGCAGTTTTTTTTTTTTCTTTTTCTTTTCTTATAAAAAATGTCTAATGCAACCGCTATAGAAAACATGAAATGTGGATGCCTACCAACAGTTGAAAAAATGCAGTATGATACATGGTAAGGAAAATTAATATGATCTTGGGCTTTATTGCAATAGGTTTTCCTTTAACCTTGGAACTTCCTAAATCCCAGCTCCATTGCTCCATTGATTTATCTTCTTCTTTTTCTTTTTTCTTTTTTTTCTTTTAAGAATGTTCTATGAATATTTTGTTGTCCTTATGACCATCAATAGGTCATATGCATACTAGATTCCTAAACTTGAAATCTTACTATTGAGACTCTCAAAACTATCATGCAATCCAAAAGTAAAGCTTCAGACTGTTAAACGCCACCACGTCTGCACCAGATAGGCATGTGCATTTATTAGCACTGAAATATTGTTTGGTTCGGTGTTTATCAATTAAACACTGAAAAACGTAAATGCCAGGGTTTTGGTGCACTCAGCCGTTTGGGGAAGCTTCAAAATTTTGCTTCCCCCAACTGCTCACTGTTTCTTGGAATGAAAGGCTTACCTGACGTTGATGTGGCATCTTACATGGAGGCATTAAGAAGTGATCCGGTGTGTCGGGGATCATGAATGCATTGCTTCTATGTTTTGTTCAATTAACTATATTCTAGCTTGGGGGCTAGAATTAAAGAGCCACAACCATCTACCTAGGAGAGCAGTATTTACCTGCCTAAAATTTCTCATTCCTAAACCCCCTGTCGAGACAGATTTGCATATGGAATCCCACTTAACCTGACGGATCTTTTGTTCACCATCCTTCCCACACCATAGGAACTTCCTTTCTAGCTTTTCCATCCTTTCAGCCACCTGTGTTGGGATTGGAAACAGAGATAAAAAATGGATGGGTAAATTTGCTAGGACACTTTTCAACAGAGTAATCTTAGCTCCCTTGGACAAATACCTGGACTTCCAACCCCCCAACTTCTTCTCTATCCTTTCAATCACCGGGTCCCAAATGGATTTGGAGTGACATTTTGCTCCAACTGGAAGACCCAGGAAACTGAAAGGGAGTTTTCCCACTTTACACCCAAGCTCCGCAGCAAGATCCTGGATGTTATTGACCTCCCCAACTGGGATAATTTCACTTTTCTGAAAATTCACCTGTAATCCAGAGATCACCTCGAACCAAATCAGAATCATCCGAAGATTACTTAACTGCTCCTTTTCTGCCTGAACAAAGAATAAAGTATCATCTGCATACTGTAGTAAAGGGACCACGATTCCTTCCTCTGCCACTCTAAAACCTTCCACACAGCCTTCAGCCGCAGCTCTTTTAGCTAATCTAGCTAAAGCCTCCACGACACAGATAAACAACAAGGGAGAGGGGGTCTCCTTGTTGAAGACCCCTCAAACTTCTATATATATTTTTTTATTATTTTCTATTCTAATGTAGGCCATATGTCAAGTAAAAGGGATTCCCCTTTATCAATAGCTTGAGCGGTTCCAGATTTTATAGGATAGATATGATCATTAAATGATGCGAGCCTTTAGATTTGATTTGCATGCAAGATGAACAGTTGGACCTCAATTTCAGCCATTATAGATGTGTATGGGAATTCTGGACCATTAGATCAACTTGATGGTGCTCCAACATAAAGAAAGAATGTCACACTGGACTGTTTATGGTGTTGTTTCTTGAAATATTCCACCAAACAACCAAAAAGGAAAAAATGTTTATTGTGCTTAGGTGGCAGATGCCTTTATGGGGTGTTACTAAAAATGCCCCACCAAACAGCCAAAACCAAGAACGTTTAAAGTGGTGTTTTTCAGATAAAGTGTTTATCTGAAAAGCGCCCATCCATAAACCAATGGAACCAAACACATAGTTGGTTTCTGAAGATTATTCAACAGAAATTAAGTCTTAATCTTGTAGTAGAGACCACTTGAAATGGTTTGGTCCATGAATTAGGACTGGAAATGGGGAGAAGTAAAGGAAATAGCCAAATAGGAAAGAATTGAATAATATTAAATAAATGATGAATAATAATAAATAAAAAGAGCATATATAGTTCTGTATTTGTTGATGACCCGTTGAATATCAATTCAATTGTCACAGTACAATAAATAACATAAACCATCAGGTTATATAGGATATAGTCTGAGACCACTTGAATACATCCAATCACACAGTTTAGTGACCAAACCTGATCCACTGAGGCCTGTAATCCATACAACACATCCTTTTTGCTGAAGAAGTTTCTGCCTTTCAAGTTTCCCAACTGGGCATTCATGCCAGAAAATATTTGCTGGTTTGCCCAATGTAGACATCAGAGGTTTTGGTTTTTCGTCCTTGCCCTATTCAAGCATAACTTGTTCAAATTCAACGGCAGAAAAAGGATAGAAAAAGAATCAACTTAGGAAACAAGATTCAAGAAGCGATGGCAACAGGAATAAATCATTGCCAACACCCAATAATCACACTGTGATCCTGTTTTTCAAAATGTTCCACAAAGAGCAGAAATTCCTGAAGATCATATGATCAAAAGCGTGCATCTGTTGAACTTTGGATTTTGAGGAGAGAGAGGGTCATGAATTGAAAAGAAAATAGTAAGATAAGGTGGGGATACTTGGGTAGTTTTAACATGCAAATGCTATGGATTTTGCAATTCCCATATGAGCAGTGACCTTCAGTAACCGGATTACCAAATGTCCATGTCCGGAAATTACTGATTAAACAAACATGTTCTTTTGCGTCCCCATTAGTCTAACACAAACTAGTAAACAAGAATGCGTTCATCTGAAAGGATAACATCAAGACAACAACAACCAGCAATGATGAATATGATATTTATTTAATTTGTCTTTATGCAGCCATTACAATAGAAGCATTCAAGTAAAACTACCCTTCCAAGTTCCAAAGATTACATGGGGTTGGGCAAAAACCCATAATGATCTTGATCCCAAGATCATGTTCACTGAACCTCAATGTTTTCAAGTGTTTGGTGATCAATAATGCATTTGTTCGTATAAAAGATACTGGTATTTTCTCATCTGCAGTCTAATGTACCATCATTAAAATCTCCAAAATTGCCTAATGCCCAGATACCCAAAAACCAATCTAGACCCAATTACTCAGATTCTAAGCTAAAACCTACTTGAATTCAGAAACTCAGATTGCAAAAAACGAAGAGAAAAATAAACAAAAAGAAAAAAAAAGAACATCAAATACCTGCGACGGAACAGTACAATCTTTGGTTTTCTCCTTGTCTTCCTCACTAACGACTAATAAGAGAGAGAGAGAGAGAGCTCAAAGCGATGTTTTAATGATTCAATCCCGAAAAAATCGACCGACCCAAACCGTATATTCAGGTGTCAGGCGGAAGGAAGGAACGGAAAGTCTGGTTCGTTTTGGTTTTGAATGAAGAGTGGACACATTTATTTGCAAAACGGTGGGTGCGCCATACGCACAGCATTCCCTCCTTCACGAGTAACAGAGAAACCGTTTCAGTTCACGTGGTGATTCTTTTGAGGAATGAGCTTCTTCCCCTCCGTGGCTCCGCACCGTTTTTGTATGAATAATAAATTAACAAAAGTTTAGTTAAAAGGACAAAAACACCCTTCCTATATTAATGGTCAATAATAGGCTCTAAGTAGGACACTTTCGTCCTTTCAGTGGAGACCAACGTCTCCATACATTCCGTGACGTTTGGTAGTCCCCTTTATAAATATTAAAATTAAATAATTACATAAATAAATGTACCATTGAGTCGGATGTCACCAACAGTGTGGCGTGTGAGTCATCTGTCACTCCTCTCCTAAGCAAAGTCTCCTTTTTATAAGTATTGCGATGTAATAAAGGATTTTATTAAGCAAAAGCTAAATAATAAAAGGGGTTATTTATTAAAATATCTTTTTTAATTTCATGGATTGATTAAAATCTATTCTATAATTAACATTTTACTAAAGCACCATTTATAATTTGTAATAGATTTAATCAATATTCTATAATATTCTATTAGATGATTAGTGGAAAATGATTTTATTTAAATAAATTCAATAAAAATAAAAATATTATTTTTGCCCTTAATAAGACATTGGCACCACTGTATTTGTTATATTTGGTCAATTTTGTTGAAAAAGTGTTAAGGGTATTTTTGGAATAAAAAATCATAGGCCTAATGGCAAAACAAACACTGTTTAATGAAAGGTTGATTAAATAAGGTCGTGTTTGGCAAGTCTTTCTGCACGGGCTTCGGGCTATTTAGAAACTCGGAATCCTGAATTCTGGGCTTTTCCCATTTGGCAATAGAAATATCTATTCGGGAAGAGCTCTAGCCCATAAAAGACGCCAAAAGCCCGAATTTGGGCTTTTTCAAGAAACTTCAAATGAAGCTTTACAGTCTTTTAGCACCCTGCCTTCTTTGAACGTGTGGTACGAAGCACACGCTTGGGAGAAAATGGGTTATCTTTCCACAAAAACTATTTGAAACATGGACCCCACATGTATGTGGGCCCTACATACATGTCCACACATGGACCCCACATGCATGGCCACCAATGGTATGTCGGGCCTACCTTGTAAAATGTACGTAGACCCCACATACATGTCAACACATGGACCCCACATGCATGTCCACCAATGGTATGTCAGACTCATCTTGTAAAATGTACGTGGTTCCCACAAACATGTCCACCAATGGTATGTGGGTCCCATGTGTTAAATGAAAGGTTTGTTGGCCCACACACAAGACATTCACATTACCAAATAGTCTTCTAGCTTTTATGGTCTTTTGTGAGATCTATATAAAATATTTTAATCAAATAATCTTTGGTCTTCCAAGATCTATTTGCAAAAGCTTACCCTATCTTTTAACCTTCAGATCTTGCAACAGATCTTTTGGAAAAGACTTGCCAAACAAGCACTAAATAAGTTGTAAAATATATGGGATGATTTAGTAAAATGAAAACTATAAGGTAGGTTTAAGTAAATATGTAAAACTATAAGGTGTGTTCTAGTAAATGACCCTAATAGAAATACAATTGTTTTATATTTTCAACTTTTTAAATAATTAATAATTATTCATATTTTAGATACTACTTTTAATAAATTTTTTATAATACAAAAATAACAACAATTAATTTTAATTAGGTTTATTCATCAAACTAATGAAATCGGCCAACCCGATAAACTCGACCCGAGTTGGTCGGTTTTCTAGTATTTTAGGTTGGCTTTGGTTCAAAAATTTCCCAAGTAGACCAAGTTGGATCAGTTTCACTTTGACCATTTGTAAATCGACCAAAATCGAATGACCTAACCATGGATATATATTAATATTTTATATTTTAAATATAATTTTTAATATGAAAAAGTGGGAAATTTCTCATATTTCTTAGTCTAAAATGTTTTATATCATAAATATAAATTTTAAATTTATTTTTTAATAATTACACTATAATTTTTAAAATTAAATTTAATTTTTAAGTTTAAATCTTTTGAACCAGCTAACAAAACAAAAAAATCGACCCAAACCGATACAACTTGAGTGGGTCGGTTTTTACAAAAGGTCAGTCGGTTTTAGCTGACCAACTCCCCAACCTAACTAGGTCAATTTGGTTGGCTAAATAGCCTACGACCGTACCAAACCAACTCATGAACACTCATAATTTCAACTAAATTAATAGTCTCATCTCTAATAAATAACAATAGATTAATCTGTAATAATAATTAAAAATTTATAGCAAAAAAACACAATTATTGAAAATATACTAGTAATGAAAAAAATATAATAAGTACAAAAATACAATAAGTACTAAAAATATATTAAGTTAGTCAATAAATATTATAATATCAAATAATAGTTTAATCTCTAATAAATATTAATCAATGTCATAACAAAAATACAATAAGTACAATAAATTAAATTTAAAATTTTCAATAATAGTAGTTTAATCTCCAATAATTATTGAAAGTTTTCTATTAAATAACAAAACAAAATAAATTTATACATAATCATTGAAAATACATTTATCACAAAAAACAATAAATAATTACTGAAATATAATAAATATTAATTTTAGTATATATAATTATATAATAAATACAGATTAAGAGTTTAAAATTATTATTAATAAATATTATTTTTTGAATGTTATTTTCTTGAATTATTACTTGATATAAGTGAAATTAGTTATTTTCAATATTACGTAAAAATATTCAATTATTATTAATTTCAATATTATGTTATAATTATTTTCTACTTTGAAGAATTTTTTTAAATTTATTACATAATTTCGTTATTTTAACTATTTAAAATCTAGTTATGATAAAAATTTAGTTATTTAAATATTTAAATAATGTATACAATATTTAATTTTTTTGTTATTTAAATTTTATTTATTCAAATCTATTACATATTATTAAATATTTGAAAAACATTTAAATTGATAATCCGGAAAAAACATAATTTAAATTGCTAGTACATCATTTTGTGATATATTTTGTAAAAACATAAAATTATTTTTTGTGTTTTTGATAAATATTTTAAAGTTATTATATAATTTTGTTAGAATATTTTAATAATTCTTAAATTTTTTAATCCAAACTTTCTTTAGATAGATATAGATAAAAAGTAGGGGAGAGGATAAATAGGAATTATAGATAATTTAGGAGAGAACTCTCTACTAAATTAGAAATAACTTTGGAGATAAATAGGAATTAGAGATAATTTAGAAGATAAATAGAAATTAGAGATAATTTTGGAGAAAGTTGGGGAGGTAGTTTAGGAGAAATTTTAGGAGAAGAGATTATTTAGGTTATCGGAAAAGTGCATCTCATTGGTTGTTTCAAAAATGACATAGAATTAAAAAAATAAAAAATTCAAAAAAAAGGAGAAAATTTATAGGCTTCCTTGTTTTAATATATATTAGTGGGTCCCGTGCGATGCACGGGATTTATTAAGCGAAAGCTAAATAATAGAAAGGGTTATTTACTAAAATACCTCTTATAGTTTCATCCATTTACTAAATCTACCTTATAGTTAGCATTTTACTAAAACACCACATATAATTTAAAATGGATTTAATCAATCTTCCATTAGATGATAGTGGAAAATGATAGTGTTGACCCTAATGTTCATTTAAATAAATTTAATCAAAAGAAAATAAAAATGACGATACCATTTTTGCCCTTAATAAGACACGGGCGTCGGACAACCACTTTATTAGCTATATTTAGGTTAATTTTTTTTTATAAAAAAAAAGTGTTAAGGGTATTTTTGGAATAAAAATCATGGGCCTAATGGCAAAACAAACACTCCTTAATGAAATGTTGATTAAGTAAATAAGTTCTAAAATATATGGGATGCTTTAGTAAAATGAAAACTATAAGGTAGGTTTAAGTAAATATGCAAAACTATAACGTGTATTCTAGTAAATGACCCTAATAGAAACACATAATAGTATACAATTGTTTTATATTTTGAACTTTTTAAATAATTAATAATTATTCATATTTTCTATACCACTTTTAATAAACTTTTTATAATACAAAAGTAACAATAAATAATTTTAGTTAAGTTTATTCATCAAACTAATGAAATTGACCAACCTGATCAACTCGACCCGAGTTGGTCAGTTTTCTAGTATTTTAGGTTGGCTTTGGTTAAAAAATTTCCCAATTGGACCAAGTTGGATCAGTTTCGCTTTGGCCATTTGTAAACCGACCGAAATCGAACGACCTAAGCATGGATATATATTAATATCTTATATTTTAAATATAATTCTTAATATGGAAAAGTGGGAAATTTCTCAACTCATGAACACTCATAATTTCAACTAAATTAATAGTCTCATCTCTGATAAATAACAATAGTTTAATCTCCAATAATTATTGAAAATTTATAGCAAAAATACACAATTATTGGAAATATATTGATAATGGAAAATACAATAATTACAAAAATACAATATGTACTAAAAATATATTAACTTTTAGCTAATAAATAGTATAATCTCAAATAATAGTTTAATTTCTAATAAATATTAATTAATAAGTTATAACAAAGATACAATAAACATGGTTTTCAAAACTGAACCGGACTGGACAGTCGGGCTATAAAAGCCGCTAACCATTCAGGTGACCGGTTCTGTTTTACCCCAAAAACATTAATTTGTCAAAAATGTTGATTTGGTCAGCAAATCGCTGACCCGGGCGGTTGAACTGTTTGAACCGTTCAATAGTTTTGGCCATTTTTATTTTTATTTATTTTTATTTTTTTTGTCTAAAAAGGCAGTCCATTGGTTCGAATGGTCAGATTGTTCGACCTAGGATCTGGACCTCTAACCGGTTCATTGTCTGGTTCGGTTTTAAAAACCTTGACGATAAATACAATAAGTATAATAAATTAAATTTAAAATTTTCAATAATAGTACTTTAATCTCCAATAATTATTGAAAGTTTTCTATTAAATAACATAACAAAATAAATTTATAAATCATTGAAAATGCATTTATCACAAAAAATAATAAATAATTCTAGAA